ATCACAAATGATACGATAATGATGAGGTCTCTCCTGCCCCAATGCCACCACCCACTAAAACCAAATCTGACCAGCCCATTGCCGCACAAAAAAAAATGCGCGTCAAACATAAGGTGCAGAAGTCAACCCCACCACCAAAGTATATGTTAGACAAGATACCTTGCATTGCATTACGTTCAATTTAGTTTTAGTTAATTTTCATGCATTAAGGACAATGTCTTCTCTAAGTTTGGGGGAGGTAGTGTCCATAGTTAGTCATTTGCATTGGTAGTCATTAACAACATTTTGCTATAGCATTTTGCATTTGGAGACAGTTATTGGAATAATTTGAAGAAGCCCAATGATGATAATTTTTTTACTATGATTTATTGAATGCATATTATTATTTATATGGATAGAATTTACTCTAGGAATTGGTTATTGCGCTTAAATTGATACACGATTGTATGCTCTCTATGCTTATGGATGTTAGAATTTTTTTATGAAAAAACTCTTGAATGCCTTAGTATAAATTGATGTTAATGAACGTAAATGCTCAATGTTAGCATGAAAGGCTTAAATTAAACTACCTTGTGTATATTAAATGTGTTGAATTGTGAATAAATACTTTGGCATAACTATAGAGAGACACTCCTCGTTGCTATAGCATTATATGGAAACCCTTTTAATAAATGGCAGCAATAGCATATGAGTGAATAAAAGTAGTCACAGGATGAATCTGCTCAATAGGCTAGGAAATGGGGTGTTTGCTCCACTTCATTTTCAAATCAAGGAAAGTAGTTGTGATAGACTGACGCCTCTCATAACAACGAAAAGTTTAAAAAAATGGGAGTAAACTTGTTCTTAAATGTAAAATAAATACTAAGTCAAAATAGTGAACTTCCCTAGATTTTTTCTAACTCTACTGAGCATAGATTGGATACAATTATGCATACACATGAAAAGAATCTTGTCATATGATATAATTCTTGAAATCTCTACTTGTCTGGTATGTTGAAGCTAATAGTTTTGAGGGATGAATGTTATGCCTTAAATTGTCTTGAGATGAACTTTGCCATAGCATTTCTTCTATTGATTATTATTCATTGCTTAAGAATAAGCAATAGTTTAAGTTTGGGGTATGATAACCCCATAAAAAGGATATGTTTTGTGCATTTTTACTTAGGTTATTGTTCATTTTCAAGCTTATTTAGTTGCATATAGTTGCATTTAAACCCATGTAGTTGCATATGGTAGTGGTGTTTTACTACAGCATTTTATTTGAAAATTCGATGCTACTTAATAGGAAAAGTTGTGCTATGTGGTGATGTGTAGGTGAATAGGGCTGAATGAGAAGTAGTGATTTGTCGTAGCATACTAGGTAAGAAGACTTGGTGAAATACTACAACATTCTAGATGGCATTCCTGGGCAGAAAGTGACAAAAAGGATAAAGATATTTTGATGAAAGGTGACAGCTATCTATGTTCATACGTGATTCCCTGTTCCAGCTACCCTTGTGAGCCCCACTGTCAGCCATGTCTACCCTTTCACGTGAAGGGAATTATATCTAAAAACCTTGGCAATTTTCTGTCAATCACCTTCAAACCTCAAGATAACTAAAAATCAACTCAAATCAACTTATGATGCACGTTTATATGTGCGTTCTCTTAGTTAAAAAGGTTCACCACCATGGGTATTTGCAGAGAATATCATAATTATCAAATTAATTAATAAGGCAAAAGATGTCACACCAATTACTATTTAGCTTAACTAGAGCTTCAGCTTATCACAACTACCTGCGAGTACTTAAGTAGTAAGATGTTGTCAACAACGAACCACCTAACCTTTTAGGTAGAGTCATCTTGTGAAGACTTTCATTCACTCATGATATTCACAATTATCTTTCCTACTTAGTATTCACTAAGCGTACCGAACTTGCTTTAGCAGCGAAGAGTTCTAGAGTTAAAAAGTTATTGTTACAATTTATTCAACTAGAGCTAGTTGTACAACTCTAGCAACTCACATATAATTTAAACAAAAACATGCAAGATAGTTAAGTATTCGCCAAAATACCCACAAGTCAACCAAACATGACATTCGGTAAATAGTTATAATATCATAAGAATCATTAAAGCAATCTCAAATTATCTCTAAGTCCAAAGATTCTTGGCTTTAAAATGCTATATTATCTCATCGTAGGTAATTACAAAGGCTCAGCAATTGTTTGTCTGTCTAATTTTCATGAAAAAAAATGTCATGGGAAACTTAACTGGACAACACGACTAATGTAAACATGCACAAAAAAGAGAACAACCCCTCAAACTTGAGAAGCAATTATATTAGATGAATGTAACAAATTATAAAACATCCCCCTAAACTTGAGAGGAGCATTGTCCTCAATGCATGCAAAGAGAATGGGTTAATCAGAAAGGTCATCACCTTGATTGATGAATGTCCTTCGAGTTGTATTACTGGTGGTGCATTCTCTTGTTCAGCCTCTTCAATAATGGAATCTTTTCACTTTGCTGGTGTGGTCGGTTACGATGTCATTGGTTTAGAGATAGACTCATTCGAACATGATGATCTATGAAAAGATTTAGTTTGAGTAGGTTCATTCATAAATGCTCTTCCTTTGTATTGTGCAGTAGTTGTCGTGGAACCTTCAGACGCTGAGGTAAGTAATTCCACAGGGAACCTTTTCTTGAACTCTTATCCTGAAAATTCAAACAAAACAAAAGAGAAATATTAATAAATAAAAAGAGAAACTAAACTAAATAAAAAGAAAAGAAAAGAAAAAATCCAAAAATTAAAAACAAATAAAATTACTGAATGATAGCATATTCATATTTCTCCGAGATTAACCAATTCCTTATTGCACTCAACATAGGCACCGGTGTAGTGCTTTAATCATTGTCCATTGACTTTAAACTCTTTTCCATTGGTGGTGGACTTGACTATTACGTCACCATGTGAGAAATGTTTTATTACCTTGAACGACCTGGACCATCTCTATTTCAATTTTTCTGGAAAATGTTTTAAATGAGAATTAAGAAATACTAATTGCCCTGGTAATAGTTTCAATTCTAGAACAGGCAGTTTTTCAATAGAAGGTTTTCCGATTTTACCTTCCTTACCTGAGTAACCCAATGGTTTGAAATATTTACCCGGTCAACTTAATATCCAATTTGCTTCTTCTTGCCCTCCATCGTCCAGTTCTTCAATTTTCTCTAGTTCGGTAATAAAATTGTCGTGGTAATTCTTATCTACTTCAAAATTGAATCGATGGTGGCATGAATGACTTGGCATTCTTCTGGATTATTAGCATGTTGTAAGGTTGGAAGAACATTCAGTTTGACTTGCTGGTACTTTATTCTCATAGTGATTTTTCCTCTTTTGACATTAATTAAGGTTTTTTCTATTGCTAGGAATAGTCTTCCAAGGATAATAGGTGCGAACTCACCTACTTCACAATCCAGAACAATGAAGTCAGTGGGAAAAATAAATTTATCAACTCTTACCAGTACATCTTCAATTTTTCCCTCTAGTTGCACATAGGATATGTTTGCAAGCTGTAGCATAACTGTCGTAGTTCTCGCCTTTCCGATACCCAATCTTTGGAACACATATTTAGGCATAAGATTTACGCTCATTTCAAGATCGTATAATGTCTTCCCGGTGTAGCAATTTTTTATTGCACATGGTATTGTGAAACTATCGGATCTTTTAGTTTATGTTGCATATTGTTGTGCAACATGGCCATGCATCCCTCTATCACAACAACTATTTTAAAATATCCTAGACTCGTTCTCTTAAATACAATATCCTTAAGGAACTTAGCATAGTTCAGCATTTTCTCAATCTCCTCAACCAACAGCAAGTTGATGTGAATTTTCTTCAAGATGTCCAATAATTTATTGAATTGGTATTCTTGTTTTTGTCTTTTCAGCCTTTGAGGGAATGGTGGTGGAATTCGAAACTCCTCATCCTTCTCATCTACTTAGAACTCGATTGATAGACCTATCGTTGTATATAGAATTACTGAGGTATGTCGACTTGCTCGACATCCTTCAATTTATCAATATCGACTTGTGTAATGTTTTTTATGTATCTTCTTGTATAGGGATCTACTTTACCGATTGAGTTCTCTCCATGGGTTGTACAGGGGTTTCAATTAACTTTCTTTCACTCTGGTTAATTATTATCTTACACTGGTCATAGCCTAAACCCATTGCAACCTTAGTATCGCCAGGTAAATCTTCTAGTGGTCTTGTGTTCAAATTCTGAGCAAGTTGTCTGACTTGTGTCTCCAAGGATTTCAAAGTTACCTCTTGATTATGCAATCTTATCTCAGTCCTGTTAATGAAAGCATCATTATTTTTCATGAAAATACTATTATCAACCATATAAGATTCAGTTTTTAACATTAAAGATTTAAGAGTATTTTCCAAAGAACTAGATGGTGTTGATTGTTGCTGCGGCATCTGTTGCCTTGGCATGTTCTGCTGGAATCCTGATGCTTGTGAATTCTGATTGTTCTGATTGAGAGCATTGTTCGGGTTACTCCATGAGAAATTAGGGTGCTCCATCCAAGATGGAGTGTACGAGTTGGATGTCACGTTGTTGTTCCGGCTATAGTTTCCAACATAAAATCAAGATTTTGGGTTCTATGGACACTCAAAAGAATCATGGTCACCATTACATAACTCACAAAAGGAATTTATTATCTTGATCTCCTGTGGATTGTTTGGTCGCTGCATATTCTCAACCAAGTTGCTTAAGGTAGTCAACTGTGCTGAGATATTGTATGTTGAATCAATCTTGTTTATCGTGGCATTACGCCTGACTCCTCACCTTCTTCTATTTGGGATCTGATAATCATTCTTGGCAAGACGATTTAGAATCTCCATTGCTTCCTTCGGAGACTTTTCGAGGAGTATGACATTCTTCGAAGCATCTATCATCATCCTAGTTGGCATATTCACTTAGTTGTAGAACATCGTCACTTGCGTCCATACTGGGAATCTGCATATGGGACATTTTCATAATAGCTCCCTTTAACGCTCACAAGCCTCATATATGGATTCATCATCTGCCTATTAAAAAGAAGTAATATCATTACGTAATTTATCACTTATATTTGTAAAACTAAATCTAGCAAGGAAGTCATGGCATAAATCCATCTAAAATTCTAAAGATCTGGATGAGATACAATTACACCACGATTTTTCCCTATCCCTCAGTGAATAGGGGAATAATTTCAGCCTTAGGACATCCTCATAGACTCCTTGTTGCTTGAATGAGTTGCAAATTTCCAAAAATGATTTGAGATGTTATTTGGCATCTTCTATTGTTGATCCACTAAATTGACTAATTATGTTGATCATATTGAACATTACTAGTTTTAATTAGAATTAGGCGGCTTCTATTTCAGATGTGAAAACTCCTGGATTGTGACCGTTGAGATCTTCCTCTAATTATTCTCGAATAGGTCTGATCCTTACTTGAACAGGTCACTCTACTACAACTCCTCCCCTTGCTTTGGCTATCTCATTATCGATAGCATTAGGGTCACCAATTGGATCAACGAGTTGGTCTCCTATTGTTTTTCATTGCTCACGTCTTCTTTTATGAAAAGCTCACTTGATTTCGAGTTCAAATGGATATTTTGGTGATGATGGTCTCGACCTGGTCATACACATATCCAAAACCATAAATTGTAAGCTCCTTGAATCTGAAAAGAAAGAAAAACAAAAACAAAAATAATACTAATAATTTAGGTGCAAGAAATAAAACTAAAAATCACTATTGTCAATCCCTGGTAACGACGCCAAAAACTTGTTGTGTGATTTGAGTGCTTTGCAATTGGTGCAAGTGTACACGTCGCAAGTTATAGTATAGAAAAGATATCGTCTCCACAGGGATTGGTGAAACTATGTATTCTAACTTTTTGCACTAAAAAGAAATAAATTAGTGATCGTAGGAATGTGAAATAAAAATTAAAATAAATGAGCAATAAATAAAGGTATAGACTGAGATTGAATAAGAGAGAAGGTTGGGTTATCGTGATTAGTGGTGTGATAACTATCTGGAAAGTCTGAGTAGTTGATGCCGAGGTAACTTGATTACCTTGGCAACTGAAAATAATTCAATTGCCTTAGCAACTGAATCCTTCCCTTCAAAGTTCGGTAGATCATTCTTCGATGTCTTCTTGTTATCCCTAACTCAAAGAACTGGTTAATTGTACATGCCCTGGTGATGCATCCCTGTGTAAACCATGGGTGAATAACAAACGATCTTGCGCTCCTTTTAGCCATTGAAATCTGAATCTTATTCCTAATATGGATTAACCTTCACCAATGTTTTTTCAAATGAAGATCATGCTCATTAGTTTCTTGAATCTAACTCTCTCCATATTAGATAAATGGATAAAACTCTCGATATTCTCTCTCAATTCACTCGAAATCAATTAAAGAACCAAGAATGAACAAACCTTGAATTAAAAAGACAATCAAGAATTCAAACCAATCCAAAATGCTTTCACAACTATAAAATCCCAATAACCCTAGCCAAATAGATTTAGTACATGGCTAGGTTTAAGAAAAACATAATGAAGAAAATTCTAAACATAAATTGGATAGAAAAAGAAAAAGAATGCGAGACTATCTCCCCAAAAACCCTTCTCCCTTCTCTATGCATCTTGGATTCCTATTTATAGGAGATGAGTCGATCCAATTGATTCTTGTTGAATGAGAATTCTAATTGGAATAAAAGATCTATTAATTCTATTTTATCTTTATCTTCAAGCTTCCTTGCAACCAAGCCTTCTTTTCCTCATTAAACTATACGTGAGAGTCCAAACTTTTAGTCTTTATCCCTTGTTTTGTGGTGTTTATAAGGTGAATTTATCCAGTCAGTATTATCCTGCACAAATAAACATAACCAACAACATCTTTTCCACAAAGAAATAATAAAATTGCAAGATCAACTTAGTGATGAAGGAAAATTATGGAATTATGCTTGAAACACCAATAATGCAAATAGAATGAACCTGAATCTAGCAATAATTATGAATAAAAAGGGTAGAAAATATAGTACTTTTATACACTTAACAAATATCTTTTGTAATTCTTTCTTGTGAGCAAAATCTTTGTAAACATCTACCTTATGAGGTATTCTTATTTACCTAAATATCCTTTGTAAAGGGGAGAGGCTTTAGTTGATCCTTAGGAAAAACTAGAGTTGTAAAGGTTACACCTTAGCCTATAAAGGTAAAACAAATTAGTGAATGTGTTAGAAAATCCTTACTATGGAGCTAAGGTAGTGAATATAGACTTTCTTGAGGAAGTTGAACCATTATAAATCCTTGTGCAAATTATTTATCTTTCTTTGTTTCCACAACAAATTTTTTAAAGGCCAACTACCCCTCTTGGCTTATTTCAGTTGATCCAAAGAGCCTTAATAATTCCAATATATTATTTTTTTGGTGTTTTCGGTTTAGGTTCATAGTTGGTGCCTCTCAACAACCATCCACGGGTTGTTTGGGGCATTATTCGGGGTTTCAGACGCAACTAACATGGGATTAGCACCAATATTCACGGTGATAAGGTCCTGAGCATTAGATTAGGGTGTAGTCCTTTATCCCTGGTCCGAGGTAGAGGTATGGTGGCTACAAGCATCTTTCAGATGCCAAACCTTCCGCATGAGAAGAAAATTAAGGTTAGATTTTCGTACTCAATGATTTGAATTTTGTTTCCAGCCATAACCCAAGAAATTAGTGATTGTTTAAGGTCGAAGTAAACAACCACTTTCGTAAACCTTATCTTGTTACTAGTGTCCTTGCGAAAGTCTAGTTTAACAACTTTACCGACCAACCTGCCAATACTAGTAAGAATTGATTTTTTTAAACATATATACGGACAAATCTAGGAATCCAATCCATATCATAACGGTAGTAGGGTAAGCTTATGTAGCGGAAAACTCCATTGTCCAAGGTTAGACGGTCAAGTACTGGCTATATATGATCCAACGTTCATCGGTTAAAACTTTCTCGTAATCAGCATCATTCTGGAATCTCACAAGGAAATATATGTTTTCTATGTCTATCAGAGTGAAAGGTTGATTTGGTCTCCATAGCACAAAGGTTCTGTTTGTAAGAGTATTAAGGTCGATATTTCAACCCAAGAGTTTAAGAACCATAGTTTTAGACATACTGGATTCCATCAGTTTGTAAATGCAATCCGAGTATTGTATGGAAGACATACCATTACGGGTTTTGGTTATGACATCCTCGTCCGTTAAGTTGATGTCCTCATCGTCATCCTACTGAGAAACACAGGTGATGGTATCACCCCAGGATATTCATACATGATTGATGCATGAGATGGTAGAATTTCTTCTTATGGACCGTCAATTACCATTTTCGATGTTCGATTGTCCCTTGCATCTGGATCGAGAGGTTTGAGCCTCGTCTTCTTGGTTTCTTTAGTGGTTTTCTGAGGATCTTTTAAGTCAAACATAAGAGAGAGATTGTTGGGAATATAGAAGCTCGATCGATCAACCGAAAAAGAGCCAAGAGAGGGTGAGTTGTCTTTTTGAAATTTTATGTAAATAAGGAGAAAGGATAGAAAAGATTTTCACAATGATTTATAGTGGTTCAACTACCTCAATGAAGTCTACATCCACTACCTTAGCTCCTCACTAAGTATTTCTAACAAATTCACTAATTTATTCTTTCTTTTTCTAGGATCAAGAGTAACCTTTACAATTTCTCTATCTTTTTAACGGCTAAGATAGAACCAAAACACCTTTTACAAAGGATAAAAAGATTGCAAACAAGAAACCTCTCAAAGGAAGATGTTTACACAATTAAGCTTACTAAAACACTCTATTTACGAGAGAAAGGGAAAAATAAGATTGGAAAAGCTTTTCTCTTGATGTTGATTGCTTATATAGGTGTTGTAAGCTTGTTCAAGTTTCCTCAACTTGTTTCTATATGTTGGAATGTGTTTGTGGATGTTTCTAGCCGTTGGGAATGTTTTGGAGCCATTGGGGATTAATTTTCTTCAAAATAAAACTGTCCAGACGCAGGAGAATAGATACTCAAGCTGGGAGTATCAGTACTGCTCTAATAAAAACTAGTTATTATATGATCGTTTGACTGGGAGTATCGATACTGGGGTTTGAAGTATCAATACTGGTATCGATACTTGCATAGTATCATTACCAAAATAGTAATTTGGAATCTGAACACATTTAAAACCAAAGGGCAATGTCGGTACTACCATGGGAGTATTTATACTTGCACATCCATTGGGTATCGATACTACAAGAATAGTATCGGTATTGCTCATGTGGTATCGATACTATAAGCACGGTATCGATACTTCTTACTTAGAAAACTGTTTTGTGTTCAAATTCAAGTTTTATAGACGTTCAATTATTTTTGAAAACTTTAAATAAATTCAATTTAGTCCAAAAACATTTTATGCTTAAATTTGTTATATCAAAATAGGTTAAACAGATATTATATTTTATTCTAACCAACACTAAAATCACTAAAATGTTCACATTCACGTGCATTAGGAGTCTTTCGTGGGGTAACATTCATTTACACTAAATTTTCCATTTTTTTTGAATTAATCTGAGATAACTATAAGTTAGTATTTGTTTAAAGATAACTCTTAACTTATGACATTGAATGCTTATGCACCTGGCATTTGTATTGCTCAAACTCGAGACCTCAAAGAATATCAGCAATTTATTTACCATCAAAAATGTCTAGTTCGTGTAATTTTCCAATTTCTTTAATTATAAAATGGTTGTAATTATCTTTTGATGACACCTATTCAATGACTCAACACGTTATGAAATTTAGTTAATTTAGGACTTTGGTCCTTGGATTAATATATTAGCCCAAACTGTATTTATAATTCAAATTACTAAATTTACACTTGAAGCATTTTGCTCCTTAATCACAAAATTTTAAATTTTAGACTTTAACAATTCAAAGTTATTCTGAATCTAATCTTAATGATTTAAAAACTAATTCAAATATTGAAAAGTAAATCTCGATCATTGAAAATCGGTAAATTTACTAAACCTATTTTACGGATGTTGCAAAAATACA